TCCTTTTAGGTCTAGTTAGATTTTAGGAGTTGGCTTCAATTATTTCCTTCAATGATTGGCTAGAATAGGTATGCTTTTGTACTGATTGTGTATATAACTATGTTGCTTACTTACAAATATTGTGTAAATAACCTAAGTGGATTATTGTTGTATAAGAACAGGAGAAGTTATTTTGAAACATGCTGAGAATAGAATGACTGGTTCAGTACAGGTACCAGCAAGAGGAAACAGCAGTTCAACTCTGATATGTCATCCGAAAATACTTTATTTTTGGAAGATTACTATAAGATAATTTCTTTTTGCAAAGAATTATCTTATTTCAGTTATTCTTATCCTACAAAGAGGCAAATATATTTAATTGCCTAATTTATAGTTGGTTGATTTTTTTTTGGTAAAAAGATAATTACCATATTTTAAATTTTCAATTTTTGAAATTATCTTTTCCGTTTATTTTGATTCTCAACCGGCTAGTTTTTGGAATTCATATGTTGTGCAATTAATATAAATACACACTAACACATTGATACAGTTTCACATCACATCATCATTGAATTCATCCTCTCTCTCGTTCAACAGTGGTACCCTAATCACTGTTCACTCCGTTTTCATCTCTCTCAAATTCCTACTAAATTTTGAAGCTTGTTTGCTACAATGGTAAGGAAATCAGCCAAGGCTTCAGCTAAGAAAGGAAAGGAGAAGACTCAAGCAAGTGAGTCCACTCTATTGAAGGAGACCACCATCACTGAAACTAACCCTGCTCCGACTTTATCGAGCAATTCACTTCCTACTACCACAAAGAACCCATCACCAACTCCGTCTCCATCTTCTACATCTCCCTCACCTTCACCTCCCAAAAATGCACCTTTACCCAAAACCCCTGAGGCTGATGATTCCATCATCAAAGAACCTGCCTCATCTCAGGGGGACCAGCCCAAAAGCGCTGAAGAATTCTTCAATACTGTTGGAGAAAGGGAAGAGGAGGAAGTTAGAAGTGAAGAAGCGGATCTACAGATTATTGGGCAGAAAAAGGGGACTTCAAAACCCTTGGTTCACAGCAGAGTGACTAGGTCTTCCCTGAAAAACATTGGCGAAGTAGTAGTGGAGGAACAATCGATGGATTCTGCTGGTACCAAACGAAAGAGAACAGCACGGAAGTCTACAAGAGGTATGTCAGTAGAATATCCATCTGTTGGTATGACTGATTTAGGTTCTAGGGTTGTGCTATCTGGTTGTAAAACAGAAGTTGGTTATTTTGATGAAAGTGCCTTAAGTGATGTGAAAGAGTTGTTAGAATATCAAGGTTGGATGGCTTTGTTTGATGTCTGTGATGCTAATATTGATGGTGTTAGAAAGTTTTATATAAATTTGAAACAAATGGTGGATAGGTCGTTAGGATCAGCTGTGAATGATGTTGAAGTAAATGTGTCTGTTGCAAGTTTGGCTGGGTTGTTGAATATACCCAGAGATGGTTTTGATGAGTATTCTGGAGATGGATGGCCCACACTTATTGGGGTCAGTCCAGATGAAGTGCATGACTTTGTGTTTGGAGGGAAAGTTCCAAAGAAAGCTAGAACTTTTAAAACTGGTAGCTTGAAGGAACCAGTGATGCTGGTTCTTCATTCTCTGTGTAACAAGATGATTATTCCTCGAGCACAAGGTAGGGGTTTTGTGCGCATCATGGAAATGGTGCTTATATATTTGCTGATGAATAAGATTAAGATAAATCTCCCTTCCCTAATGATAAACCATATGATGAATTGATATAATTCCTCCCACCATTCTCTTCCTTATGGTTCTTACATAACTAAGCTTCTTAAAGAGAATAATGTTTCTCTTAGTGGATCAACTACTCCTGTAATAGTGTTTACCAAAGGTATTCTGAAACAAAAGGGGTTGATCATAAGTGCTGGGGTGTTGAAGTTTAGGGAGGAAGAACCAGTAGAGACTCCTAAGCCTGCCAAGAAGAAACAGAAGGCAGAGGAACCAGCAGGTCAGAAGGTTATTCTTAAGAGGCTGGAGAGTCAGGAAGAGAAGATGAGTGCTGTAGGGGATCAGCTTAGCAAGTTAGTGACCTTAGTGGAAAGTTTATCTACTTCGTTTATTATGAGGATGAGCAAGTTAGAGAAACAGGTTGCTGGTAGTTCTGGAATTGAGAAGGAACAAGTTGAGGAGGACCAGCAAACAGACCAGCAGGAAGATGACAATGAAGAGGAGGAGAATCAGGATGAAGCAGTTGAGGAGGCTGACACTGAAGAAGAGGAAGAAGATGATGAAAATGATGATGATGATTGAATCTGTTTTCTTTTTCATTTAGCCTACCTTTAGTATATTATATTCTGAATAACTGATTCTGTTGGACTGTTTTTATTCCTCCCAATCCATGAATTTGTTTTGATATGGATTTGGGCTCTATCGTTTACTTTTGATGGTTTGTATTAAACTATGATCTTTATTGTTGGCATGGCTTTACTTTGACTAATCTGACCTTCTTTTGCAGCACTTTATTTGTATAATGGTTGATGCCATTGGATGGTTTAGCACGTTACTTTATGCATAAGAGGCTACTTTTGCATATCTTTTTAATGATGCCAAAAGGGGGAAAATAGTTGAAGTTGAAGCCTATAGTCTTTACTAGTTTAGATTGAGTCGTTTTTGAGTCTTTTTACTTTTACTTTGACTTTATTTTATTTTCTGTTTCTGTTTAGGGAACCAGTTGGCTTAACTGACTTGTTCCATTGAGTCTTGAGTCCTTGAAGTTTTTGACTACTTTCTTTTGAGTATGTTCACAGGTGCATAAACTTCAAATGTTTGTCATCATCAAAAAGGGGGAATTTGTTGAGTCCCTTAGGTTTTGATTGATAGTTTTGAATGATGACAAACAGCTAAGGGAAACAGGTCTTTGAAAGTGTTCAATACAGTTGGGGGAACCAGCTAAAATAGAACACTGTTTCCCTAGATAAGTTATTACTTATATGAGATATTTGTTGAACTAACTTATCTTTATACAGGGAACAGTTAGATGATGAATGAGCTATGCACTGGTAGGAAACCAGTATAAACTGTTTTCTCAAACTGCTTTTATGAAAGGCAGTTACTTATTTAGTATTGTACATTAACTTTGTTGAATGTGCAGTATCTAAGTTGATTTCTAAGACTGGAAGCTTGAAAGAATTTTCGATCAACTTAAAGGAAGGTCCTTTGGTCAATAATTGAGTTCATTCATGGAAGCTTTCAAGACTTAACGAATGCATGAAGGAAGATTACACTCAAAGAGTTATTTAGGAACTTCATGTAAATGCTCCGTAGTATAACTTATATAATTGAGTATATAAAGTGCTTTTAGTATATTAAATATCGTTATGAAATTTGGTACAAGGTTTGGAACAAATTTCATAACATATTCAGTTCAGGGAACCAGGCCAGGGAACTAGGTTAACTGAACAGATTATTCAAGCTGCCGTTTTTACAAAGATTTTATAAAAAGATATTTTCCGAAAAATATTGATTTAAAATATATCCAAGCAGCTAAGAATAAAGATGATATTTTTGGTTAGCTAAAAACTAGGAAGTATTTTATCTTAAATTGATTTTATCTTGTGATCAAATCAATTAAGATAAATACTTACCATAAATCGTATATATCTTATATGCATGATTTAAGGTAACTAGGGTTTAGCTAACTAACCTATAAAATACATCTTATTCTGAATAATCAGATACGGCTCTCACGCATTTTAATAGAGTTTTATTTTTGAGAGCTAATAGCACTAATTCAATTATTAAGTGATACACAAGAGCATAATAGTGTTTTAACGTTTTTCTCTATTTGACTTTTGAGAGTTAGATCATTAGAGAGTTCTTGATCTTGTATTAAGTTTTTGACAGAGGGGTTGAAGACTTGGTGAGTGTTTGTGAGTTCAAACACACTAGGAACTTACGAGGGTAAGTTTAGAGCACATTCGGAGTAGAGTGTGGGGTTTACTGGTTCCCGGAGTAGGGAAACAGTAGAGTGTTCTTTGTCTTTATTTTTCGGAGTAGATTAATAAAGGACTTAGGATAGGAGGACGTAGGCCAGAGTTGGCTGAACCTCGTTAAATCTGTGGTGTTCTTTATTGCTTTGTTTTATTCCGCTGCATAAGGGAACCAGCACAACTGGTTCCTTACACATAATCCGAAAAGAAGCAAAAATCGCTAACGATTACTTAACACTCAATTCACCCCCCCCCCCTCTTGAGTGCCCATTGAACCTTCACAATCCATCACAAGCATAGCCCTTTCCAACAAAGGTTCCAACCTTAGATATAATTACATTTTTAGATTCTATTACCACTTTCAAACCCTTCTTAGACAACATAAAACCAGAAATTAAATTCTTCCTAATTTGAGGCACATGAAGTACATTAGTAAGAATGACTTTCTTCCCAGAATTAAATTGCACTTTATCCGTTCCAGAACCTTGGACCTTGGAAGAATGATGATCACCCATAAGAACTTCATGGTTAGGGAAAGAATCAGTGTAGGTCTTGAAAAGAGCCTTGTTGTTGCACACATATGCTGTAGCACCCGAATCATACCACCAATCATCAATTGTAGTAAGCAAAGCCATATGCATTTCTTGAATCATACCAATGTTTAATTTAGAAATCATGGCTACAATATCATTGGTGTTATTCTCTACAACATTTGCCTCACCACCTTCCTTCTATTTTTTAGTCTTCTTATGTGCCATTTTTCGCCACATTTGTAACAAAATAGGATAAGCTAATTTCCTCTATTCAACCAATGTGAAACTTTTTTCCCAACAAGTTAAATAGAATTGAATAAGCTAACTTTTTCTATTCTACTAATGTGGGACTTCCATTCCAACATCAGGCTATATAGACTAAACTATATAACCAACTTTTATTCTACCAATGTGGGACTAATTTCCCAACATTAAATAACACTTATTATGAAGACTAATCTAACAAGTTTAATCTTTTACATATTACTTTTACTTGGCCGAGGAGACAAGAAACCCAGCAGTAGATATACCAATAGGATTACTTGGGTCTATGTCCTGCATCATAGTGATATACTGCTTGATGGCTCTTTCACTGAGTATGATGCAGCCTTACTCAAATATAGATCCTGATGCAGCATACTCACTCGCGTTTCAGAGTGTGGGATTGAAGTGGGCAAAGCCGCTGGTAGCTCTTGGTGCACTTAAGGGAATGACAACAGTGCTACTAGTTGGATCACTAGGCCAAGCCCGATACATGACTCATATAGCACGAGCACACATGATCCCACCAGTATTTGCTTTTGTACACCCGAAAACAGGCACTCCTATAAATGCCACACTCTTAACAACCATCTTAAGTGCCAGCTTTGCATTCTTCTCAAGCTTAGACACATTGTCAAGCTTGTTATCTATCAGCACCTTGTTTATCTTCATGATGATGGCGGTAGCACTCCTCGTGAGAAGGTACTATGTGAAAGGTGTCACCAGTAGCAGAAATCTGAAGACACTGATTGGTTTATTGTTGATCATCATTGCTGCTTCGATAGGTAGCGCAGCGTATTGGAGTTCAAATCCCAATGGCTGGTTAGCATATACTATAACAGTCCCTTGTTGGTTTTTGGCAACCACGGGTATAGCACTCAAGCTGCCTCAACAGCGTACACCAAAGGTCTGGGGTGTCCCTTTGGTCCCGTGGCTACCATCCTTATCTATCGCCATCAATGTGTTTCTGATGGGTTCATTAAGGGCTGAAGCTTTCATTAGATTTGGCATTTGTACTGCTGTAATGTTGATCTACTATGTACTCTTTGGTCTCCATGCAACTTATGACATGGCACATCAGGACCACTTGGAAATCCAGAAGGTTCCTGACAACAGCGCAGCTTAATCAGGGTAACAGGGTTTGATTGGTAGGAAGCCCAAAGATTATGAGGAAAGTCCATGATGATTTAGAGAAATTATGTAAAGTTATCACAAGATTGCACTACTTTAAATTACACTGTTATTGCGAGTTTGATGCAGGAAATATATACAAATCTAACCATAAGATTTTAATATACAAATAAAATTTGCACTATTCGTATAAGTTTTTATGCCTCTTTATTTTTATTCGTTCAAAAAGGAGGGATGAGACCTAAAGAATAGGTAGTACCCAAGGAAAGATTAAACTTGTTAGATTAGTCTTCATAATAAGTGTTATTTAATGTTGGGAAATTAGTCCCACATTGGTAGAATAAAAGTTGGTTATATAGTTTAGTCTATATAGCCTGATGTTGGAATGGAAGTCCCACATTAGTAGAATAGAAAAAGTTAGCTTATTCAATTCTATTTAACTTGTTGGGAAAAAAGTTTCACATTGGTTGAATAGAGGAAATTAGCTTATCCTATTTTATTAATCTTGGTGTGGGGAAGAATATCCCACATTGGTTAAATAGGAAAAGTTTAACTTGGAACTAGTGTATAAGTTTAATATTTGGAGCATAACAAATTTTAACGTGAGTCAATGACTTTGACCTCGGGCTCAATTGGGCGGGCTTTGCATGGTTAGGCGCAAACATATGTTTAGAAAAAGAAAGTTTGCTTGCCCAATAGGACTAAGTTAGCCCGATCGGGCGCGAATGCAAACTTATTTTCTAAAGGGTTGATGACCCAATCGGGTGCAAATCAAGTTGAAATTTTTGTTCGTTTATTTGCCCGATCGGGCGAATGTAAGCGGTTACTTTCTTACGGAAAATTGACTATGGTAATCGTGACTATTCATTTAAAATGTCAAATTATCTTAATTAATTAGTTTTTGGAAAATAGTGACTCTTGGATTAAAAAAGTTGTACATTATATATATATATATATATATATATATATATATATATATATATATATATATGGGCTCCAATTGTAACTTACTTGAAATTCTTCTTCCCATTCTATTCTAATTGTTCTTAGGGAGTTTCAGTTACATTGCAATAATTGATCTTGGTATTTAGGGAAATCCTAGGAGCATATTAACCAGTAACCCATAGCAATCATAGTGGGGGTTAAAATTGCTTTAAGGACAGTGTAAACACGTTCCTAATTTTTCATTCCGCGTAATTATTTTCTAACAATCTTAAAGCAATTTTAATTTTTTCTGTCATGGAGAATGTCATGAAGAGTGTTGGTGACGCTAGGAAACTTGATCGATTCGATGTTCTAATTTTACTTGTTGGATGGAGACCATGAAGTTCTTTCTCATCACAATGAAGTTGTTCAACACTCTTGATGTTGATCTTAAGCCCATTCTTGAACCGAAAGAAGATGAAACTGATGTTGTAAAGGGTGACGCAAAAGCGTGTTGAGGACGAAGCACTATGCAGAGGATACATTCTGAATCATCTTTTAGACCGCCTGTATGATCTCTACATACCGATGAAGAATCCAAAGGAAATCTGGGACTCTTTGGAAACTAAGTACAATTCAGAAAAGCAAGGGGTAGATAAGTTTATTACTATGCAATTTTTTGAATTTACTATGAATGATTCTTCATCTGTATTAGACCAAGGGCATGAATTTCTTATCTTAGCCTCTAAATTTAAGGATTTTGCTATAACCATTCCAGAAAAACTACTTGTGGGGGGAATAATTGCAAAATTACCCGCTAGTTGGAATGATTATAGGAAGAAACTTTTGTTTACTTCTTAAAATTTTACTTTGGAACAAATTCTAAAACATTTACAGATTGAAGAGGAAACTCAAAATCGTGATAAGAAATCTAATGGTGGTTCTAGTTCCAAAGGTTATTATGTAAGTAATGATCGGAAGGGGGAGGCAAGAAAAGAAAGGCTAACAATCAAAATAAGCAGAATAATTCCAACAAGAAGCCTAGAAAGATTTTGTCTGATGTTGTTTGTTACAAATGTGGCGAAAAATGGCACATAAGAAGACTAAAAAATAGAAGGAAGGTGGTGAGGCAAATGTTGTAGAGAATAACACCAATGATATTGTAGCCATGATTTCTAAATTAAACATTGGTATGATTCAAGAAATGCATATGGCTTTGCTTACTACAATTGATGATTGGTGGTATGATTCGGGTGCTACAGCATATGTGTGCAACAACAAGGCTCTTTTCAAGACCTACACTGATTCTTTCCCTAACCATGAAGTTCTTATGGGTGATCATCATTCTTCCAAGGTCCAAGGTTCTGGAACGGATAAAGTGCAATTTAATTCTGGGAAGAAAGTCATTCTTACTAATGTACTTCATGTGCCTCAAATTAGGAAGAATTTAATTTCTGGTTTTATGTTGTCTAAGAAGGGTTTGAAAGTGGTAATAGAATCTAAAAATGTAATTATATCTAAGGTTGGAACCTTTGTTGGAAAGGGCTATGCTTGTGATGGATTGTGAAGGTTCAATGGGCACTCAAGAGGGGGGGGGGGTGAATTGAGTGTTAAGTAATCGTTAGCGATTTTTGCTTCTTTTCGGATTATGTGTAAGGAACCAGTTGTGCTGGTTCCCTTATGCAGCGGAATAAAACAAAGCAATAAAGAACACCACAGATTTAACGAGGTTCAGCCAACTCTGGCCTACGTCCTCCTATCCTAAGTCCTTTATTAATCTACTCCGAAAAATAAAGACAAAGAACACTCTACTGTTTCCCTACTCCGGGAACCAGTAAACCCCACACTCTACTCCGAATGTGCTCTAAACTTACCCTCGTAAGTTCCTAGTGTGTTTGAACTCACAAACACTCACCAAGTCTTCAACCCCTCTGTCAAAAACTTAATACAAGATCAAGAACTCTCTAATGATCTAACTCTCAAAAGTCAAATAGAGAAAAACGTTAAAACACTATTATGCTCTTGTGTATCACTTAATAATTGAATTAGTGCTATTAGCTCTCAAAAATAAAACTCTATTAAAATGCGTGAGAGCCGTATCTGATTATTCAGAATAAGATGTATTTTATAGGTTAGTTAGCTAAACCCTAGTTACCTTAAATCATGCATATAAGATATATACGATTTATGGTAAGTATTTATCTTAATTGATTTGATCACAAGATAAAATCAATTTAAGATAAAATACTTCCTAGTTTTTAGCTAACCAAAAATATCATCTTTATTCTTAGCTGCTTGGATATATTTTAAATCAATATTTTTCGGAAAATATCTTTTTATAAAATCTTTGTAAAAACGGCAGCTTGAATAATATGTTCAGTTAACCTGGTTCCCTGGCCTGGTTCCCTGAACTGAATATGTTATGAAATTTGTTCCAAACCTTGTACCAAATTTCATAACGATATTTAATATACTAAAAGCACTTTATATACTCAATTATATAAGTTATACTACGGAGCATTTACATGAAGTTCCTAAATAACTCTTTGAGTGTAGTCTTCCTTCATGCATTCGTTAAGTCTTGAAAGCTTCCATGAATGAACTCAATTATTGACCAAAGGACCTTCCTTTAAGTTGATCGAAAATTCTTTCAAGCTTCCAGTCTTAGAAATCAACTTAGATACTGCACATTCAACAAAGTTAATGTACAATACTAAATAAGTAACTGCCTTTCATAAAAGCAGTTTGAGAAAACAGTTTATACTGGTTTCCTACCAGTGCATAGCTCATTCATCATCTAACTGTTCCCTGTATAAAGATAAGTTAGTTCAACAAATATCTCATATAAGTAATAACTTATCTAGGGAAACAGTGTTCTATTTTAGCTGGTTCCCCCAACTGTATTGAACACTTTCAAAGACCTGTTTCCCTTAGCTGTTTGTCATCATTCAAAACTATCAATCAAAACCTAAGGGACTCAACAAATTCCCCCTTTTTGATGATGACAAACATTTGAAGTTTATGCACCTGTGAACATACTCAAAAGAAAGTAGTCAAAAACTTCAAGGACTCAAGACTCAATGGAACAAGTCAGTTAAGCCAACTGGTTCCCTAAACAGAAACAGAAAATAAAATAAAGTCAAAGTAAAAGTAAAAAGACTCAAAAACGACTCAATCTAAACTAGTAAAGACTATAGGCTTCAACTTCAACTATTTTCCCCCTTTTGGCATCATTAAAAAGATATGCAAAAGTAGCCTCTTATGCATAAAGTAACGTGCTAAACCATCCAATGGCATCAACCATTATACAAATAAAGTGCTGCAAAAGAAGGTCAGATTAGTCAAAGTAAAGCCATGCCAACAATAAAGATCATAGTTTAATACAAACCATCAAAAGTAAACGATAGAGCCCAAATCCATATCAAAACAAATTCATGGATTGGGAGGAATAAAAACAGTCCAACAGAATCAGTTATTCAGAATATAATATACTAAAGGTAGGCTAAATGAAAAAGAAAACAGATTCAATCATCATCATCATTTTCATCATCTTCTTCCTCTTCTTCAGTGTCAGCCTCCTCAACTACTTCATCCTGATTCTCCTCCTCTTCATTGTCATCTTCCTGCTGGTCTGTTTGCTGGTCCTCCTCAACTTGTTCCTTCTCAATTCCAGAACTACCAGCAACCTGTTTCTCTAACTTGCTCATCCTCATAATAAACGAAGTAGATAAACTTTCCACTAAGGTCACTAACTTGCTAAGCTGATCCCCTACAGCACTCATCTTCTCTTCCTGACTCTCCAGCCTCTTAAGAATAACCTTCTGACCTGCTGGTTCCTCTGCCTTCTGTTTCTTCTTGGCAGGCTTAGGAGTCTCTACTGGTTCTTCCTCCCTAAACTTCAACACCCCAGCACTTATGATCAACCCCTTTTGTTTCAGAATACCTTTGGTAAACACTATTACAGGAGTAGTTGATCCACTAAGAGAAACATTATTCTCTTTAAGAAGCTTAGTTATGTAAGAACCATAAGGAAGAGAATGGTGGGAGGAATTATATCAATTCATCATATGG